CCTCTCCTGTGCCCTCAGTGTTCTGAGGGCTGCCCGACGCTCTTTCTCCTCTGCCTCGGCCCTCTCCTTCTCACCCCTCTCCTGCCACTGGCGCGTGTATTCCTCCTCGGTGAGGCATGTGGCGACCACAGGGAGTCTTCTGTATCAGTCCAGCCGATACTTCAGGACAGTAAGGATGTGCCCCAGGTCCTTCGCTATCAGCCCCCCCTCTATTAGGGGGTGCTCTTCTAGAGCTAGGGATGGGACTGGAGCAGGGGCTGGGACTGGAGCAGGGGCTGAGGGTCCTCCTGTGGTCGCTGGGGAGGAGGTGCTGATGGATGGCACAGTGCTGCTGGTTCCAGTAGAGGCAGTGTTGGGACCCGGTAGGGTCGGAGACGGCATTAAACGGGACCCTTCAATGGCTGAAGGGTCAAAAGGGAAGAGGCCACACTTCTTAAATCCTTCCACCACATAGCGCATGTCCTTGCATCGCTGGTACGGGTAGCGGAATACTCTGGCAAATTCTGATTTGTTTACCATGTAGGAGTGGTCAAAATGGCTAAGGTCTCCAGCTACCTTGGAGAACTCAGCCTTTAAAGGGCCAAAGTATGCCACATCCAGCGGCTGCAGGACACGGGTGCAGTGTGGTGGAAGACAAAGAAGTATAACCCCTTCCCTTAGTGCCACCGCGAGCACTTCCGGGTCCATGTGGCTCTTATGCCCATCGAAGAGGAGAAGGAGAGGGCGCTCTTTCACTGCATGCTTAATGAAGTGCTGAAACCACTTCCTGAACAGGTCCCCGTCAATGTAGCCACTGCTTGACCGTCCATACAAGGCTTGGGGGGAGCCTCCCAGTGTGTAGTGGCCACCGGGGAAACACTTGGGGTAGATGATAAACGGGGGGACGTCCTCCCCAGTTGCGTTGAAGCAGGCCAGCACTGTGATGTGCTCCTTGGTCCCCAGAGCCTCCTAGTACACGTGTTTTGCGCCCGGGGAGCCAGCACTTTGTGCCTGCTCTGGTCGCTACGAAACCCAGACTCATCAAAGTTATAGATTTGTCTGGGTTTCTCCCTCAACCCACTCTCCTCCAAGTGCTTCTCATAAGAAGTGAAGAAGGTGTCCATCGTCTGACGTGTGGCACACTCAGCTCTCCCCCTATCCAGGGTGTCCGGCCTCCTCATGCTTAGGTTCTTGTGCCTCCTCCTGAACATTTCCCACCACCTCTTCCCCAGTGGTGGGATTGTTTCCCCTGGGTGTCGAAACCTACAATAGAATAGAATATATAATTGTCCATCCAGGATGAAAATGTTTGTTTTGGCATCACCATACACATTCACATTTACATCATACACATTGAGAACAGTCAGTCCACCAATCTACATACATAAACACATAGAACACCAAATACCTGCGTATTTTGTCAGCGTATTTCATCAGCCTCTGTCTGGTGAAGGGGAACCCATGGCTGGTGCAGTAGATACAGTACTGCACCAGAGACTTTTCATCCTCTGGTGCAAGCAATGTGGGTGGTCCACTGCGACAACCATGGGTCACCCGGCCGCTCAGCCTGTCCGCCAGGGTCTCCCGAGGTACACCATGCACCTTGGTAGATAAGAAAAGAAAACTGTTACTAGCAGATAAAATTCACATACACATGGTAATCTCCTAAAAACAAAAGATGCCTAACCTTGGCAGCCTGGCGGATAGCCATCCCTGCCTCGCAGTCCTCCATGGCATGGAACATGTCCACCTCACTCCACTGCTTCCTCTTGACTTTCTCCATGCTGCAGTGGTAAATACATGTAGCTAAATAACTTGGCATACTATACACATTTTAGAAAGATAACTCAATCTGAATATGTATAAACATTTACATTTCAAAGCTAAGGCATTGAAAGGTGATGAAAGTTTTCACAATAACTGAAAGTGTACCCACGTTTTTTGTTTGATGTTATTTGTAATGAAAATTAGTGTCCCAATTAGTGTAATATTGATGCATACATTGTACCATTTGACTAAATACTGCCTCTATGTAGCTGTTGTAAGATGAAACATAGCCAACAGTGATAGGTGTCAAAAAGTTAATGGTTCAAAGTTCCAAATACATTTTTGCAGATTGTGCAAAACGCCTCAGTCAGAGGACTCCAATTTTGATACGGTAAAGCTTGACAACATGCAGCTGTTTTCGTGATGTGTATTATCTAACGCTTACAATTTCTTTCCTTTTTGCTTACTTAGCAGTTCTATCAACATTTACCAACTAAGCTAGCAACATGTGAAAATCTGTTAGCTATATTTCAGAGGTAAAAAGTTGGATATTAAATGATGTGTGGTCTGTCGCGCAGTCGAATTGTACAATATGCAGCGTGTTCCACAAAATGTGTACATATACACTTTTTTGAAAACGCTCAAAACTTAACTTACATAAATTGCACTGAAAATCAGTGGTCGCAAAACTCACCGTTATTTTCCAGTCCATTTAAATGTTGAGCTCAAGGTGATTTAGTCCTCCAACCGCTAGAGAGTGTCCGATGTTAGGGGGTGTCGATGTTTGGGGGAAATTAGCTACCCTAGTTGTCATAGTAGCGATGGGTGTGTGTGCAGTGGTGTAGGCTGATTGGTGGTGGTGCTTCCTATCACTCAGAAGTTATGTCGCAAGCTAAGGTGACAACAATGCCTGACATGGACATTTCCCAGTTGCTTTGAATGTTCAAGGATAACATGATCAAACTTTAAAAACGAGTCATTTTTGGCTAGCCACAGCAGTCAACTAGCTAGCTAGGTAGCTGTTTAGCTTTCTAGCACATTCACTAATTAACAAGCTAGTTAGCTACCACATGTTATTGTCAAACTGTCAACAGAGTAGCTAGCAAGCAACAAGATATGCCTAATAACAGTCTAAAAATCACAAATAAATCAGATTTGACCGTTCAGACACAAGTCACATGGCCAGGAATCAGATTTGTATTGGACTTCAAACCACCTACGAAGGTGGCTTGAAATATCTGATTCCATGTGCTTTTTGCCTTCAGTTCAGACTGCAGGAAAAAGAACAGATTCGAATCGGATATGCAAATAAATAGGATGTGACTTCAAACTGTCAATGTGAGCACGGCTTTAGTGATATATGTTCAAAACCAAAATACAGTGTTCACCTACAAGCTGAAGTGATTATGTAGCTACACTACCTCCTCCAAGACGCACAGAGGTGCTCGTTTTTCCAATGTCATTTACAACCAGGGAAGTGACGCACGAATTTTTATGTGAACATCAGCCGGTGGGGACATTTTGAAATAAGTAGCTAGCTGGTATTCGTATGTGAGAGTGGACTAAGGTTGACGTTACACGTTTATTATTTGTATATGTCATACGTAAAAAAAAATCATATCTAATAATGTCGTCACAGAAGTCGGACACTGAAGAAACAAGCGTGTAACACCCGGTCCAAGGTAAGGTGCTAGCTAGCAAGTTAGCCTGCATAGCTAGATACGCCGTCAGTGCTAACTGGCTAGCACACCATGGCTAGCTAAAGGACTGCGTTTTAAATTGAATCGTCACTAGCATAGCTAATGTTACGTCTCTTCCATTTTAGGTAGTTGGCTAGCTACGTAGCTAGCTGCTCAGGGGTTCGTGCTAGTATAACAAATGCATACATGGATAACGTTAGTGGACTATGTTTACAAATCCCCCGTCCTTCCCCGCAACTGAATCCACTTGTCAAAAACGAACGATTTATGGGAAAGTTGCAGCCTTGCTCAGTAGCGGCCCGCAATTCGGGGCGTTTCTGCATGTGGGCATCCCCCCCCCCCCCCCTCAGGCATCCCATTGGTTCCTGTTTTAAAGCCCCCCACCCCCCCTTACCAGCCATATTCATGCTTGTGTGACACTTTATATTCAGGATTTCCCCAGATTGTCAATGCGGTTGAAATGTGTCAAAAGGGAAATATAAGTATTTTTGGAGCGAAGGACACTGTCCTGGCTAGCTACCGGTGTCGCTCCCACCTGTTGTGTACCAGAGTCCTAGCTAGCTAGGACACTGACATTCACTCCCGCCTGCCGAACAGCTGCCCTCACCGTTGTTAACAAAACTGCTGGAAATCGGTGCCCGACTGGCAGGGGCGAAGGACACTGTCTACCGGTGTCCTAACTAGCTACCGGGGTGTCCCTGCCTCTTCTTCTGTGGGTTGTCTGCCGGCTGAGGACCTGTGAGGCGTCTGTTTCTCAAACTAGACACTCTAATGTATTTGTACTCTTGCTCAGTTGTGCACTGGGGCCTCCCACTCCTCTTTCTATTCTGGTTAGAGCCAGTTTGTGCTGTTCTGTGAAAGGAGTAGTACACAGCGTTGTACGACATTTTCAGTTTCTTGGCAATTTCTCGCATGGAATAGCCTTCATTTCTCAGAACAAGAATAGACTGACGAGTTTCAGAAGAAAGTTATTTGTTTCTGGCCATTTTGATTCTGTCATCAAACCCACAATTGCTGATGCTCCAGATACTCAACTAGTCTCAAGAAGGCCGGTTTTATTGCTTCTTTAATCAGCACAACAGTTTTCAGCTGTGCTAACATAATTACAAAAGGGTTTTCTAATGATCAATTAGCCTTTTAAAATGATAAACTTGGATTAGTAAACACAACGTGCCATTGGAACACAGGACTGATGGTTGCTGATAATGGGCCTCTGTATGCCTATGTAGATATTCCATTAAAAATCAGCAGTTTCCAGCTACAATAGCCATTTACAACATTAACAATGTCTACACTGTATTTTGATCAATTTGATGTTATTTTAATGGACAAAAAATGTCCTTTCCTTTTGACAACAAGAACATTTCTAAGTGACCCCAAACTTTTGAACGGTAGTGTGTATATATACAAAAAATGCGGAAGACACATTTCAGTACAACTGACTCGGTATCCCCCTTTCCCTTTATATATATTGTTGTTCCAGGTGAGTTCCTGTCCAGGCCCACCCTTCTAAGACAGTCAGACCACGGGGCCCTACGCTCAACTAGCATTAAGATGGCAGACAAAGAGGAGTTTGTGGATGGCGAGACCCTCCCAGAGTGTCCTGCACAGGTGGGGTCAGCAGCTGCTTTTAGGGGGGAGCAGGGGGAGCCCCTTAAAACAGAGACCACCACCAGCTTTCCACCAGGAGAAAAGGAGGGGGACAGCCCCCTGCAAATGGAGGGTGAGCCCAGCCTGCTCTCCATGCCCTGCCTCATGAAGGAGCTAAGGAGAGACTCCCCAGAGTCCCAGCACGCCTCCACTGGCAGCGACAAGCCTGCCTCGGGCTGCGTCCACGAGAGCGACTCCTCCAACCCCTGCATACTCTCACCGTCCTCCAGTGGCCACCTGGCTGACTCAGACACACTCTCCTCTGGTGAGGAGGGAGCCGCCTCGCGGGCGTCTGGGGAGGAGGGCACCACGGTGGCCGGGGCCGACACCGAGCTGGCAGCAGGAGGCCAAACGTCAGCATCAAGTGGGCGAAAGGCCCGGCGTTCACGTTCTGAAAGCGAGATGTCCACCAACACAATGGCAGCCAAGAAGAACCGCAGCCAGCCGGCTGTGGCAGGAGGCGCAGGCGGCGAGAAGCAGACCAACGGCCGGCTGGCTAAAGTCAAAGGTCACCGGAGCCAGAAGCACAAGGAGCGGATACGGCTTTTGAGGCAGAAGCGTGAGGCAGCGGCGAGGAAGAAGTACAACCTGCTGCAGGACAGCAGTACGAGTGACAGTGACCTCACCTGTGACTCTAGCACCAGCTCTTCTGAAGATGAGACATCAGGCGGCAAGACAATCACCACAGACATCCCAGGTAACAATCAACACCAGACACATTTACCCAACCCACCCAGGGGTAATATTCGCCACACGTATATCCCATGTTAAATGCATTTACTACAGACATTCCAAGTAACCCACATTTAGCACACCATAAAGTAACAATCACTATACAGTAACAGTCAAAAGTTTGGACACACCTACTCATTCCAGGGTTTTCTTAATTTTTACTATTTTCTATAATAATAGGGAAGACATCAAAATTATGAAATAACACATATGGAATAATGTAGTAACGAAAAAAGTGTTAAACAAATCAAAATATATTTGACATTTTTCAAAGTAGCCACCCTTTGCCTTGATGACAGCTTTGCACACTCTTGGCATTCTCTCAACCAGCCTCATGAGGTAGTCACCTGGAATGCATTTCAATTAACAGGTGTGCCTTGTTTAAAGTTAATTTGTGGAATTTCTTTCCTCCTTAATGCGTTTGAGCCAATCAGTTGGTAGAGCAGTTGGTAGAGCATAGCGCTTGCAACGCCAGGGTTGTGGGTTTGTTTCCCACGGGGGGCCAGTATGAAAATGTATGCACTCACTAACTGTAAGTTGCTCTGGATAAGAGCGTCTGCTAAATGACTAAAATGTAAAAAATGTGTTGTGACAAGGTAGAGGTGGTATGCAGAAGATAGCCCTATTTGGTAAAAGACCAAGTCCATATCATGGCAAGAACAGCTCAAATAAGCAAAGAGAAACGACAGTCCATCATTACTTTAAGACATTCAATCCGGAAATGTCAAGGACTTTGAACGTTCCTTCAAGTGCAGTCGCAAAAACCATCAAGCGCTATGATGAAACTGGCTCTCATGAGGACCGCCACAGGAATGGAAGACCCAGAGTTACCTCTGCTGCAGAGGAGAAGTTCATTAGAGTTGGCAGCCTCAGAAATTGCAGCCCAAATAAATGCTTCACAGAGTTCAAGTCACAGACACATCTCAACATCAACTGTTCAGAGGCGACTGCGTGAATCAGGTCGAATTGCTGCAAGGAAACCACTACTAAAGGACACCAATAATAAGAAGAGACTTGCTTGGGCTGAGAAACACAAGCAATGGACATTAGACCGGTGGAAATCTGTCCTTTGGTCTGATGAGTCCAAATTTGAGATTTTTGGTTCCAACCACCTTTGTGAAACGCAGAGTAGTAGGTGAACGGATGATCTCCACATGTGTAGTTCCCACCATTAAGCATGGAGGAGGAGGTGTGATGGTGTGGGGGTGCTTTGTTAGTGACACTGTCAGTGATTTATTTAGAATTCAAGGCACACTTACCCAGCATGGCTACCACAGCATTCTGCAGCGATACGCCATCCCATCTGGTTTGCGCTTTGTGGGACTATCATTTGTTTTTCAACAGGACAATGACCCAAAACACACCTCCAGGCTGTGTAAGGGCTATTTTACCAAGAAGGAAAGTGATTGAGTGCTGCATCAGATGACCTGCCCTCCACAATCACCCGACCTCAACTCAATGGAGATTGTTTGTTTGGGATGAGTTGGACCGCAGAGTGAAGGAAAAGCAGCCAACAAGTGCTCAGCATATGTGAAAACTTCTTCAAGACTGTTGGAAAAGCATTCCTCATGAAGCTGGTTGAGAGAATGCCAAGAGTGTGCAAATGGTGGCTACATGATTCCATATGTGCTATTTCATAATTTTGATGTATTCACTATTATTCTACAATGTAGAAAATAGTAAAAATAAAGAAAATCCCTTGAATGAGTAGGTGTGTCCAAACTTTTGACTGGTGCTGTACATTTGCTACAGATCACATTACAGTGCATTCGGAAAGTATTCAGACCCCTTGACCTTTTCCACGTTTTGTTACACACATTACCCTCGTAATGACAGCAAAATCAGGTTTTTAGAAATGTTTGCAAATGTATTTAAAAATTAAAAACTGAAATCACATTTACTTAAGTATTCAGACCCTTTATTCAGTACTTTGTTGAAGCACCTTTGGCAGCGATTACAGCCTTGAGTCTTCTTGGGTATGACATTACAAGCTTGGCACACCTGTATTTGGGGAGTTTCTCCCATTCTTCTCTGCAGATCCTCTCAAGCTCTGTCAGGTTGGATGGGGAGCTTCGCTGCACAGCTATTTTCAGGTCTCTCCAGAGATGTTCGATCGGGTTCAAGTCCGGGCTCTGGCTGGGCCACTCAAGGACATTCAGAGACTTGTCCCGAAGCCACTCATGCGTTGTCTTGACTGTGTGTTTAGGGTCATTGTCCTGTTGGAAGGTGAACCTTCGCCCCAGTCTGAGTTCCTGAGCGCTGTGGAGAAGGTTTTCATCAAGGATCTCTCTGTACTTTGCTCCGTTCATCTTTCCCTCGATCTTGACTAGTCTCCCAGTCTCTTCCACTGAAAAACATCCCCACATCATGATGCTGCCACCACCATGCTTCACCGTAGGGATGGTGTCAGGTTTCCTCCAGACGTGACGCTTGGCATTCAGGCCAAATAGTTCAATCTTGGTTTCATCAGAACAGAGAATCTTGTTTCTCATGGTCTGAGAGTCCTTTAGGTGCCTTTTGGCAAACTCCAAGTGGGCTGTCATGTCTGGCCACTCTACCATAAAGGCCTGATTGGTGGAGTGCTGCCAATTGGAAGATTCTCCCATCTCCACACAAGAACTCTGGAGCTCTGTCAGAGTGACTAGCGGGTTCTTGGTCACCTCCCTGACCAAGGCCCTTCTCCCCGGATTGCTCAGTTTATTTGGCGTCCAGCTCTAGGAAGAGTCTTGGTGGTTCCAAACCTTTTCCATTTAAGATTAATGGAGGCCACTGTGTTCTTGGGGACCTATAATGCTGTAGACATTTTTTGGTACCTTCCCCAGATCTGTGCCTTGACACAATCCTGTCTTGGAGCTCTACGGAGAATTTCTTCGACCTCATGGCTTGGTTTTTGCTCTGACATGCACTGTCAACTGAGGGACCTTATCTACAGTGAGGGAAAAAAGTATTTGATCCCCTGCTGACTTTGTACGTTTGCCCACCAACAAAGACATGAGCAGTCTATAATTTTAATGGTAGGTTTATTTGAACAGTGAGAGACAGAATAACAACAACAAAATCCAGAAAAACGAATGTCAAAAATGTTAGAAATTGATTTGCAATTTAATGAGGGAAATAAGTATTTGACCCCTCTGCAAAACATGACTTAATACTTGGTGGCAAAACCCTTGTTGGCAATCACAGAGGTCAGACATTTCTTGTAGTTGGCCACCAGGTTTGCACACATCTCAGGAGGGATTTTTTCCCACTCCTCTTTGCAGAGCTTCTCCAAGTCATTAAGGTTTCGAGGCTGACGTTTGGCAACTCGAACCTTCAGCTCCCTCCACAGATTTTCTATGGGATTAAGGTCTGGAGACTGGCTAGGCCACTCCAGGACCTTAATGTGCTTCTTTTTGAGCCACTCCTTTGTTGCCTTGGCCGTGTGTTTTGGGTCATTGTCATGCTGGAATACCCATCCACAACCCATTTTTAATGCCCTGGCTGAGAGGAGCTTCTCACCCAAGATTTGACGGTACATGGCCCCGTCCATTGTCCCTTTGATGCGGTGAAGGTGTCCTGTCCCCTTAGCAGAAAAACACCCCAAAGCATAATGTTTCCACCTCCATGTTTGACGGTGGGGATGGTGTTCTTGGGGTCATAGGCAGCATTCCTCCTCCTCCAAACACGGCGAGTTGAGTTGATGCCAAAGAGCTCGATTTTGGTCTCATCTGACCACAACACTTTCACCCAGTTCTCCTCTGAATCATTCCGATGTTCATTGGCAAACTTCAGACGGGCCTGTATATGTGCTTTCTTGAGCAGGGGGACCTTGTGGGCACTGCAGGATTTCAGTCCTTCACGGTGTAGTGTGTTACCAATTGTTTTCTTGGCGACTTTGGTCCCAGATGCCTTGAGATCATTGACAAGATCCTCCCGTGTAGTTCTGGGCTGATTCCTCACCGTTCTCAGGATCATTGCAACTCCACGAGGTGAGATCTTGCATGGAGCCCCAGGCCGAGGGAGATTGACAGTTATTTTGTGTTTCTTCCATTTGTGAATTATCGCACCAACTGTTGTCACCTTCTCACCAAGCTGCTTGCCGATGGTCTTGTAGCCCATTCCAGCCTTGTGTAGGTCTACAATCTTGTCCCTGACATCCTTGGAGAGCTCTTTGGTCTTGGCCATGGTGGAGAGTTTGGAATCTGATTGATTGCTTCTGTGGACAGGTGTCTTTTATACAGGTAACAAACTGAGATTAGGAGCACTCCCTTTTAAAAGTGTGCTCCTAATCTCAGCTCGTTACCTGTATAAAAGACCCCTGGGAGCCAGAAATCTTTCTGATTGAGAGGGGGTCAAATACTTATTTCCCTCATTAAAATGCAAATCAATTTATATTTTTTTTTACATGGGTTTTCTGAATTTTTTTGTTCTGTCTCTCACTGTTCAAATAAACCTACCATTAAAATTATAGACTGATCATGTCTTTGTCAGTGGGCAAACGTACAAAATCAGTAGGGGATCAAATACTTTTTTCCCTCACTGTAGACAGGTGTGTGCCTTTCCAAATCATGTCCAATCAATTTAATTTACCACAGGTGGACTCCAATCAAGTTGTAGAAACATCTCAAGGATGATCAATGGAAACAGGATGCACCTGAGCTAAATTTCGAGTCTCATAGCGAAGGGTCTGAATACTTATAAATAAGGTATTTTTTATTTTTAATACATTTCTAAAAATTTCAAAAACCTGTTTTCGCTTCGTCATTATGGGGTATTGTGTGTAGTTTGAGGAACATAATAAAAAAATAACATTACATCCTCATTCTAAAATGGAACAAAATGTGGGAAAAGTATGAATACTTTCCGAATGCACTGTAATTATTACAAAAATACACATTTCCCACAGACATTTCAGATTAATCACTCCACATACATTCACCAGAGACATCAATTAACAATAGTGTCCCCGGCCAATACAAACACTGACTGACGCTTCTGGTTATTAATGTTTGCTCATCTGAAATGGATTCTAGCACAGGCATCACTGATTGTTGAATGTTTTAATGACTGTTCCACTGTTTCATTTGTCTCGATTCACCATGCCTTTTGAAGGTTACAACACATCACTCACCACGTAATCCACACGTCGGCAGTGTTCTTGTTGAACTGTGACTGTCGTTGTGGGAATGTAGACATAATTTACTGAGTGTTACAATTGGGTTATTGTTTTGTGCTGCTGTAGGGATACATTTTTTACCACAGTATATGACCACTGTGTGGTAACCTTGTGACATAGTACACTGCTCCAAAAAATAAAGGGAACACTTAAACAACACAATGTAACTCCAAGTCAATCACCCTTCTGTGAAATCAAACTGTCCACTTAGGAAGCAACACTGATTGACAATACATTTCACATGCTGTTGTGCAAATGGAATAGACAACAGGTGGAAATTATAGGCAATTAGCAAGACACCCCCAATAAAGGACTGGTTTTGCAGGTGGTGACCACAGACCACTTCTCAGTTCCTATGCTTCCTGGCTGATGTTTTGGTCACTTTTGAATGCTGGCAGTGCTTTCACTCTAGTGGTAGCATGAGACGGAGTCTACAACCCACACAAGTGGCTCAGGTAGTGCAGCTCATCCAGGATGGCACATCAATGCGAGCTGTGGCAAGAAGGTTTGCTGTGTCTGTCAGCGTAGTGTCCAGAGCATGGAGGCGCTACCAGGAGACAGGCCAGTACATCAGGAGACGTGGAGGAGGCCAACAACCCAGCAGCAGGACTGCTACCTCCGCCTTTGTGCAAGGAGGAGCAGGAGGAGCACTGCCAGAGCCCTGCAAAATGACCTCCAGCAGGCCACAAATTTGCATGTGTCTGCTCAAACGGTCAGAAACAGACTCCATGAGGGTGGTATGAGGGCCCGACGTCCACAGGTGGGGGTTGTGCTTACAGCCCAACACCGTGCAGGACGTTTGGCATTTGCCAGAGAACACCAAGATTGGCAAATTTGCCACTGGCGCCCTGTGCTCTTCACAGATGAAAGCAGGTTCACACTGAGCACGTGACAGAGTCTGGAGATGCCGTGGAGAACGTTCTGCTGCCTGCAACATCCTCCAGCATGACCGGTTTGGCGGTGGGTCAGTCATGGTGTGGGGTGGCATTTCTTTGGGGGGCCGCACAGCCCTCCATGTGCTCGCCAGAGGTAGCCTGACTGCCATTAGGTACCGAGATGAGATCCTCAGACCCCTTGTGAGACCATATGCTGGTGCGGTTGGCCCTGGGTTCCTCCTAATGCAAGACAATGCTAGACCTCGTGTGGCTGGAGTGTGTCAGCAGTTCCTGCAAGAGGAAGGCATTGATGCTATGGACTGGCCCGCCCGTTCCCCTGACCTGAATCCAATTGAGCACATCTGGGACATCATGTCTCGCTCCATCCACCAACGCCACGTTGCACCACAGACTGTCCAGGAGTTGGCGGATGCTTTAGTCCAGGTCTGGGAGGAGATCCCTCAGGAGACCATCCGCCACCTCATCAGGAGCATGCCCAGGCGTTGTAGGGAGGTCATACAGAAACGTGGAGGCCACACACACTACTGAGCCTCATTTTGACTTGTTTTAAGGACATTACATCAAAGTTGGATCAGCCTGTAGTGTGGTTTTCCACTTTAATTTTGAGGGTGACTCCAAATCCAGACCTCCATGGGTTGATAAATTTGATTTCCATTGATAATTTTTGTGATTTTGTTGTCAGCACATTCAACTATGTAAAGAAAAAAGTATTTAATAAGATTATTTCATTCATTCAGATCTAGGATGTGTTATTTTAGTGTTCCCTTAATTTTTTTGAGCAGTGTAGTATCTCAAAGCTGTGACATATCATAGTAGTAAATGCGTCATTCCCATTGAAGGCTCCACTTTCCATACATAGTAATGCGTTGTTCCATTTGATTTCAATTACTTTTTGATCGCACCTCTTTTGATTTAAACGAAACTTTCCATACATATTTGTCCATTGTAGAAGTGGTCAGAAAGTGAAATTGACCCATGTTGCATACCCCACCCTACCATGAGACATCCATGTCTTCATCACTGGAAAAGATAAACGGTTGAGTTAGATATTTTTAAACACATACAAACAGGTTTGTCAAACTATATATAATTTTTGTTTTTAATAAAATATTTAATTTTTTTATCCTTTAACGTCAATTATCTAAAAACGCGTAAACGCCCATTAAAAAAATAAATATATATGTATATATACATACACATATATATACAGTGGGGGGGGGGGAAGTATTTAGTCAGCCACCAATTGTGCAAGTTCTCCCACTTAAAAAGATGAGAGGCCTGTAATTTTCATCATAGGTACACGTCAACTATGACAGACAAATTGAGGGGAAAAAATCCAGAAAATCACATTGTAGGATTTTTAATGAATTTATTTGCAAATTATGGTGGAAAATAAGTACTTTTTTCCCCCACTGTACATACAGTGGTGTGAAAAAGTGTTTGCCCCCTTCCTGATTTGTTTGCATGTTTGTCACACTTAAATGTTTCAGATCATCAAACAAATATAAATATTAGTCAAAGATCACACAAGTAAACACAAAATGCAGTTTTGAAATGAAGGTTGTTATTATTAAGGGAAAACAAAATCCAAACCCACATGGCCCTGTGTGAAAAGGTGATTGCCCCCTACAACCTAATAACTGGTTGGGCCACCCTTAGCAGCAACAACTGCAATCAAGCGTTTGCTTGATCTCACTGTCAACTGCGTTTATTTTCAGCAAACTTAACATGTGTAAATATTTGTATGAACATAACAAGATTCAACAACTGTGACATAAACTGAACAAGTTCCACAGACTTGAATAATGGGTCCCTGAACAAAGGGGGGGGTCAAAATCAAAAATAAGAGTCAGTATCTGGTGTGGCCACCAGCTGCATTAAGTACTGCAGTGTCCTCTCCGACTCATGGACTGCACCACATTTGCTAGTTCTTGCTGTGAGATCCAACAGGTCCCTGACGTGCTCAATGAGATTGATATCCGGGCTCTTCGCTGGCCATGGCAGAACACTGACATTCCTGTCTTGCAGGAAATCACGCACAGAACGAGCAGTATGGCTGGTGGCATTGTCATGCTGGAGAGTCATGTCAGGATGAGCCTGCAGGAATGGTACCACATTAGGGAGGAGGATGTCTTCCCTGTAACGCACAGCGTTGAGATTGCCTGCAATAACAACAAGCTCAGTCCGATGATGCTGTGACACACCGCCCCAGACCATGACGGACCCTCCACCTCCAAATCGATCCCGCTCCAGAGTACAGGCCTTGGTGAAACGCTCATTCCTTCGACGATAAACGCGAATCCGACCATCACCCCTGGTGAGACAAAACCGCAACTCGTCAGTGAAGAGCACTTCTTACCAGTCCTGTCTGGTCCAGCGACGGTGGGTTTGCGCCCATAGGCGACGTTGTTGCCGGTGATGGCTGGTGAGGACCTGCCTTACAACAGTCCAGCCTCTCTCAGCCTATTGCGGACAGTCTCAGCACTGATGGAGGGATTGTGCGTTCCTGGTGTAACTCGGGCAGTTGTTGTTGCCATCCTGTACCTGCCCCGCAGGTGTGATGTTCGGATGTACCGAACCTGTGCAGGTGTTGTTACACGTGGTCTGCCACTGCGAGGACCATCAGCTGTCCGTCCTGTCTCCCTGTAGCGCTGTCTTAGGCGTCTCACAGTACGGACATTGCAATTTATTGCCCTGGCCACATCTGCAGTCCTCATGCCTCCTTACAGCATGCCTAAGGCACGTTCACGCAGATGAGCAGGGACCCTGGGCATCTTTCTTTGGGGTGTTTTTCAGAGTCAGTAGAAAGGCCTCTTTTAGTGTCCTAAGTTTTCATAACTGTGACCTTAATTGCCTACCGTCTGTAAGCTGTTAGTGTCTTAACGACCGTTCCACAGGTGCATGTTCATTAATTGTTTATGGTTCATTGAACATGCATGGGAAACAGTGTTTAAACCCTTTACAATGAAGATCTGTGAAGTTATTTGGATTTTTACGAATTATCTTTGAAAGACAGGGTCCTGAAAAAGGGAAGTTTCTTTTTTTGCTGAGTTTATATACACTGCTCAAAAAAATAAAGGGAACACTTAAACAACACATCCTAGATCTGAATGAATGAAATAATCTTATTAAATACTTTTTTCTTTACATAGTTGAATGTGCTGACAACACAATCACACAAAAATTATCAATGGGAATCAAATGTATCAACCCATGGAGGTCTGGATTTGGAGTCACCCTCAAAATTAAAGTGGAAAACCACACTACAGGCTGATCCAACTTTGATGTAATGTCCTTAAAACATGTCAAAATGAGGCTCAGTAGTGTGTGTGGCCTCCACGTGCCTGTATGACCTCCCTACAACGCCTGGGCATGCTCCTGATGAGGTGGCGGATGGTCTCCTGAGGGATCTCCTCCCAGACCTGGACTAAAGCATCCGCCAACTCCTGGACAGTCTGTGGTGCAACGTGGCGTTGGTGGATGGAGCGAGACATGATGTCCCAGATGTGCTCAATTGAATTCAGGTCTGGGGAACGGGCGGGCCAGTCCATAGCATCAATGCCTTCCTCTTGCAGGAACTGCTGACACACTCCAGCCACATGAGGTCTAGCATTGTCTTGCATTAGGAGGAAAACCGGTCATGCTGGAGGATGTTGCAGGCAGCAGAACGTTCTCCACGGCGTCTCCAGACTCTGTCACATGTGCTCAGTGTGAACCTGCTTTTATCTGTGAAGAGCACAGGGCGCTAGTGGCGAATTTGCCAATCTTGGTGTTCTCTGGCAAATGCCAAACGTCCTGCACGGTGTTGGGCTGTAAGCACAACCCCCACCTGTGGACGTCGGGCCCTCATATCACCCTCATGGAGTCTGTTTCTGACCGTTTGAGCAGACATGCACATTTGTGGCCTGCTGGAGGTCATTTTGCAGGGCTCTGGCAGTGCTCCTCCTGCTCCTCCTTGCACAAAGGCGGAGGTAGCAGTCCTGCTGCTGGGTTGTTGCCCTCCTACGGCCTCCTCCACGTCTCCTGATGTACTGGCCTGTCTCCTGGTAGCGCCTCCATGCTCTGGACACTACGCTGACAGACACAGCAAACCTTCTTGCCACAGCTCGCATTGATGTGCCATCCTGGATGAGCTGCACTACCTGAGCCACTTGTGTGGGTTGTAGACTCCGTCTCATGCTACCACTAGAGTGAAAGCACCGCCAGCATTCAAAAGTGACCAAAACATCAGCCAGGAAGCATAGGAACTGAGAAGTGGTCTGTGGTCACCACCTGCAGAACCACTTCTTTATTGGGGGTGTCTTGCTAATTGCCTATAATTTCCACCTGTTGTCTATTCCATTTGCACAACAGCATGTGAAATGTATTGTCAATCAGTGTTGCTCCCTAAGTGGACAGTTTAATTTCACAGGAGGGTGATTGACTTGGAGTTACATTGTGTTGTTTAAGTGTTCCCTTTATTTTTTTGAGCAGTGTATATATACACAAACCATGGTCAAATATGTATAAAAAGTTTTGTTCAAATCAAAAGGGGTGATCAAAAAGTGATTGAAATCAAATGGAACGACCCTATTGTGATTTACTTCTTCCTGTCCTTTGTCATAATAGAGAGACTGATGCTGAATGGAATGAGATGTCTCCATCCTCCAGAGCCTTCCAGTAGTTCACCATGCCATATAGCACCGGATGTCTAGCCTACCGTGCTGGTTGTGTTGACAAACTGTTGAATTATTCAATTGTGGCCCTTTCAGTTTCCCCTAAGCGCCAGTCCAGTGTTTTACAGACAGGTTGTGTCTGTTTTCAGTGCAGTGGCTCTCGATGCAGCTGTTTGGCAAGGCTCTGGTTGACTGTTAGAGCAGATGCTTCAAGTCTAATAGGTGCTAATAAACAGCTGTGTTGGCAATGCGGGGCCCATTTTTAGGAAGTTCTCATGGGGCGGCAGGTAGCCTAGCTGTTAAGAACGTTGGGCCAGTAATCGAAAGGTCGCTGGTTGGAATCACTGAGCCGGCAAGGTGCGTCTCCCGAGTGGCGCAGTGGTCTGCATCGCAGTGCTAGCTGTGCCACTAGAGATCCTGGTTTTAATCCAGGCTCTGTCGTTGCCGGCTGCGACCGGGAGACCCATGGGGCGGCGCACAATTGGTCCAGGGTAGGGGAGGGAATGGCCGGCAGGGATGTAGCTCAGTTGGTAGAGCATGGCGTTTGCAATGCCAGGGTTGTGTGTTCGATTCCAGTATGAAAAAAATAAAAATGTATGCACTCACTAACTGTAAGTCGCTCTGGATAAGAGCGTCTGCTAAATGACTAAAATATAAATGTACAAATCTGCCGTTCTGCTGGCAAGGCAGTTAACCCCCAACAACAACTGCTCTCCTGATTCAGAGGGGTTGGGTTAAATGCGGTAGACACAATTCGGTTGAATGCATTGTTGTGCAACTGACTAGGTATCCCCTTTCCCTTCCAATGATTACATTAATGGAGACATCTCATTCCATTCAGCATCAGTCTCTCTATTATGACCAAGGACAGGAAGAAGTAAATCACAATGGGGTCATTCCATTTGATTTCAATCACCCCTTTTGATTTGAACAAAACTTTTTATACATATTTGGTCAGAAAGTAACTTTTTGGACCTGAATGCCACAATATTTAGGAGAGGAGCTCAAAGTTGACCCATTTTGCATACCCCACACTACCATGAGACATCCATTTCTTCTTCACTGAAAAATAAAAAGGTAAATAGTTGAGTTTGATATCATTTAAAAATGTGTAGAGGATAACACAAAAATTGAATAATGTATTTCCATTGTGGTACCTTTTTTGTATAGCTCAAACGGTTGGTACGTTGTCAAGGAGGGCGGTCACGTGTTACGAAGCAGAGGATCACTGGTTCGAGCCGGGTATGGGAACAGGGACAGTGGAGGAAGCTAAACTGTTAGCAGCACACTGACGTTGGTTTCACAAATTACTTCTTGAATTACAGAAACAATGTGTTGCTCAACTTCAATTAGTACAATGGATCAAATATACATTGGCCTAGTACTGTAGATCAAATAAATATCAGTGTTGCTTTAAGCTCTTTACTTTTCATATTGAGTTCTATTTTTTCTGTTTCTTACTCAGGCCTGGTATTCCATTGGTATCTGAATGATGTTGCTAGCTGGTGTATTACAGTTTTGGCATATGGTATTACTCGGCGTTTTTTTATTTGATTGTTGTATTACTATGATCAGGGCACCCTTGAATGAGACCCTGGTCTCAATGGGTTTTCCCTGAATAATAAAAAAGATTAAAGTAGCTAGTGTTTCAACACTGCGTCTTGGAAGTGCAGTGACACATTGATATTAATTTGAGGGAGCATTGTCCTTATTTAGACTGGGTTAAAGCACAGAAATAACACGGAGGTAGTGGTGAAATGCTTTGCCTGCTACTAGCCTGCTAGTGCTAGTTCAAATAGGTGATATCTTGCTTGTTTAAGTACATTTGACGTCCAAGGCGGAATTTCGAAACCATGGTACTTCGTGGCTTGGTGCTGCGTCTTTAATTATTTTACGCTGTAATTGTACTGTGCGTGTAGTTAAAGTTTTCGGGTTTCTTTATCTTATCGCCAAAACTATAGACGGTTAATCTTCACTAAACACTTTCTATGAAGAGTTCCAGCCACTAAATCTCCTAAAACAAACATTTCTGTCCATAATGGATTTGTAGAACTCCATGTTATCAATCATTACTGCATTCCCTACACAGACCTGACTGCCACAACTGCATGAACGTAGTCCATCAGCATGAAAAAGTCGATCTGCACATCAACTAAACTTGTCATTTTAATTTTTTTATCAAACAAAAACAGTCCACCAGCGAACATGAAAAGTACTTCTGTGTTTCATATGGCTTTGGCCTCAATGTCTTTAAAGCTGGCTTCTGCCGTGCTGCGGAGGGTTCCGGAGTGAGCGCTCAGATTCAGGGCCTGCTGGACGGCGGTGGCTCGTGGGACAGGAACAGCATTGGCAGCGTGCTGGAGGAGACCATGACGCGCTTCGCTGTGATGCAGCGGCAGACCGAGGAGCGCTTCCGCGTCTGGATGGAGAAGCTGACGCGCCTTGACTCGGACGATAGCGGCGACTCGTCCATCCGCTCGAGCGACGCCCCCGGGCGGCACCACCGTCACAGGGTACCACGCCTGTCATCGGCTAGATCCTTCCTTCCCTCCTCGGAGTCGCAGGAGACAATGGCGGCGTACATGTTGGCCCGGGAGAACGCCAACATCACCATGAGCAGCATGGCACCCGACCCCATCAACAACAACATCCTGCCTGACTTAGTGCCAGTGGCCACCCAAAATGGAAACCTGGAAATTCGTGACCCCGGGTTCTTGAATGTTTAGATTCGCTTGTTGGACTCATGGACTGCATTAGTGCTGTATTTTCCGAATGGATAATGTTCCATCACGCACACAGTGATGATTGCAGATGTGCTTATATATTTCTAAATGTTGTGGATTTTAGTCGCCAAGACACCAATTGTACTGAAAGTCCCTAATGTGCGGTATTCCATAATAGTTAACCCATTGAGCATGGCCTTGACTGTGTTCTAACTGAAAACTGTACAAGTACAAAAACAACACACAATCAACCGCAGTTAGGAACAGGCGATTACATTTCAATGGCACTCTGAGGTCCTCCATGACTGCAAAACGTTGTGGCTCATGGCAGCTGTGGGCGCTGAATCACTGTGAGATCTCCTAGTGCGTTTTAAACAACTCAATGGTTCTTGGAGCCAAATGACTTGTTTTTACTGCAACGTATAGAATAACTAGTCTAGCTATCTGACATGCATCATTGACAAGGACAATGTAGATTTTATGGACAGAGACTGTGAAGTCAGGGCTCTCGCTGTACTCTATTCCAAGAGTGTACATGTTTACTAGCTAACACACACACACACACACACACACACACACACACACACACACACACACACTGTCAGCTCATACACAATTATTCATGCAAAAAACGTGCATTACAGCACCCCAGAGAGCCACTTAGGCAGGGGGCTGCTTCATAGCATGTGCCTTGACATACTGAATTCATGCTGTGAATGAGAACGTTGTGAGGAATATCATAGTGCCATTTTAGTCAGAGCCACAGCCACTGGGATAGTAATTGATTAAATACTGCTCTACTAACAGTAAACATTCTAGAGAGAATTATATTCTTAACGCAAAATACCCACTGCCACATATGATTCCTTGAATTTGGATGTCCAACTCAGAACATTGTTAAACTTTTATATGTAGTTAGAGTAGATTTCTTTTTTAACCTGAACAGCTGTTGTGGTGGCACTGATACCGTGAAAGATTAGGCCTAATGCAGTGATAGCAGTTGAGAGGAACACTGTTTTTTATGTAAAGATTGTGGGCCTTAGGTGTGTGATCTTTTGTGCTGAATAGAGGCTCAAATTTATTTGCATATCCTTATAGTGGTTAGTCGGGCCGGGACGATAACAGTATCACAATTTTTTCCATGGCAAAAAAGAACACGAAGCAGACAAACTCTTAGGTCCTTTATTAACCTCCTGTATATAAAATATTGTGTGCTATAGCTGGATGACAACATAATGTTTGTTTCCGACCTTAGGGCTGTTTTCCTAAAGAAGTGAATTCCGCTTCGTGTTTTGTTTCCTTGCCACGATACTAACGCAATACTGGCGTAGTCCCGGCCCTAGTAGTTAGGTGTGCCAACTCTGGTCTGCTGTTGGTTGTGTGTTTGTCTGCCGACCTGGCCTGTGCTTGAAGCAAATGCAGCCTTTTTTTAGACAAGTAGTTGTATTGATATGACTTTTATTATCAAACTGAAAGCAGGTTTCACCCTAACAGATCAGAGTTTGTGTTCCAGAGCGGTAAAGCGCATGTTGATGTTTACGGGTTGCTATATAGGCCTACGTAAGATACAGGTGACAACCTGTTGGGCGGTATCTTTTGGAATATCCCAATTTGCAGATGATAAGGTACTGTAGAATATAGCGACACAGTTCTCAATTCCACACTGTTTAAACTGCATTCTTACTGTTTGCATGTGATCTTCGCTGTATGTATATGTCAGTGTCAAAGAATAATTCATCAATTTTCTGTTGTTGCATGTGTGCAAGGAAAACATTTGCTCATATGCTCATGAATTGTAGTGATTTACATTCTTTGATTATTTTTTTGACCTTCCTTTGATTTAATGTTAACAAGACTTAGTCCAGCTCTCATCTCCTGCCTTCATTTTCATGGCACCCAGTTCATTTGATATATTTAGTTTGCCTTATATGGAGGGAGAGAGGGAGAATATCTTGGTTTATATTAGTCATTTTTATCTTTATTAGGCCTAGGAGTTGTTCCTGACCCTGTGATCCTGATCAGCCAGGAAATACTATGGGCCCTTATATACTTTGAAGTGCCTGGCATCTGCTGTAAACCTGGTGCCCTTTTCTCTTGACTTGACTCCCATACGGCTCTGTCTGCACACACAAAGTATGCAGCCTAGACGACCCTGCGGCATGTGCCCTGGGCTATGTGTAACTCCGAGACTCCTATTACAGCAGGGGTCGACAAAAGGCGGGAGTGATAAAGAGGAAAAAAAGAGTATATGTGTATAAAACATTAAGGACACGTGCTCTTTCCATGACATAGACTGACCAGGTGAATCCAGGTGAAAGCTATGATCCCTTATTGATATCACTTGTTAAATCCACTTGAATCAAAAGAAGAAACGTTCAAAGTTTCATCATAGCGCTTGATGGTTTTTGCGACTGCACTTGAAGAAACTTTCAAAGTTCTTGAAATGTTCTGGATTGACTGACCTTCATGTCTTAAA